TATAGCCAGGCATTTACCATTATAATTAAGAATGAATGGATTTTACGCAAATTTTCCCAACCATACATTCACGTGGCCCAGGAAAAACATAAGATTTATATGTATCTGAGGATCTCAAATACCTGTCTTACTCAGGCCTCTGGAAATTATTGTTTCATAGCCTTATTTGATATTGGGGAGTTCRACCTGTGGCAATGAGCTCATAAATCTCAAGGATATTTCAGATGAGATTTGCCATGAAAAGTCAAAACTCTCAGCTTCCAGTGCTGAGCATTAACAGCATGGCCATCCTTCTCCTGGCAGMTGTGTTAAGTTTCTCATTCAGAATAATAATTCAGTAGCAGCAGTTGAGAAAATACAGTAGAATTTGATTCAGACACTAGAACAGGTTGACAATATCAGTGGCRCAAAGAATTGTCAAAGAATCAGGAGCTGCTGAGAGCATGGGATAGTCACTCAAAAAGTTTCTATGTATACACTTTCCCATTTTCATCCTTTTCTCTCCAGATGTTACAGGAATGAACTAGTAAATAATTGGGCGTATATGGCTTTTATTGGTGAGGTGTGTGTGTGCAGTGTTAGAAGGTGAAAATCAAGCAYGTGCTGGAATTGAACTGTGACCTCAATTCACAATGGCATTTAATCCATGTGCTCTTCCTCCTCTTTGAAATAAGGTACTTAATTTTCTGAGACTAAATGCAGCACTGAGGTCCAGAAATTGCATACTTTCATATGTAATAAAATTATAATACTTGAAAACACTTCAGGCAGTGGGCTTTRCCCTTTCTTAGTTGATAGAAAGATGAACAGTTTAAGGTTAAGGAACCTTAAACCTAAAAGAGAAGGTTCAAATCTTTTCTTGCTTCATCCTTGCAGTTATGATGCATTTCTCTCACATTTTGGTTTTCTCGACTGCTTCCACAAGACTGCTCTTTTCACTCTAGAAAGAGCTGATAATATCTAATTTAGATTTTTTTTTTTTTTCCGTGCTTATGGGTCAGTAGGACAAGGGATCTTTGAAAGGCCATTCTAATGATGTTATTCTTATCTGAACTTATTGAGCATTTGTCTGATTTGGTCTATATTAAATTGGTAGATTTTGTGTGACATGGCTAAGTGTAAATTAGGTGGTTAAATGGAAAAAATTCTCTGCTAAACCATATGACATTATTGATGAGCTGAGGGTTTTTAAAAAGCTGGTGGAGAATTATGTTTGTGCTGTCCTCATCCAGATTCTGAAATAAAGCTGAAACTAATGACATGCTAATAAAACAGGAGGGGAAACTGGTGCAGAGTAGTTGCTGTGTCAGCATGTCGGCTCCTGATGCAATCRTGGGAATGCTCCTTGAACTTAGTTAGAAATGACACATTTAGTGTGAGGCCACTTTCAGCTCAGATGAGCAGTGGGGGTGGAAGAGGGATGAACAGAATTACTTTTGTATAATTTTGGAGACTTTCTCTCTTCGTAAATAGGGTTGCATCATTTTTCTAGAGAATAACTGTCTTACAGAATCTGTAGAAATAAATTTCTTTTCCTCCTTAGCTGTTTATTACTTTCTGTAACAGTTTTTCTCATGTCTAAAAGGATTCAATCTAGACATGTAGTCCAAGTAAGATTGTGGTCATTCCAGTTCTCTTATTTCTAGGTCTACATAAAAAAATGAGRAAACATATAGAGGTCTCGCTATGGAAGCAATTTTCAAGTCTGATACCCTTTATTTGTTCATTTTGATTGTTTGACTTGGTTGAATGAYTATATGTGAAAGAATACACATAAAAAACCTCAGACTTCAGACCTAGGCAAGAAAAGAACATTTTACTTCATAATAAGGTTTAAGTTAACTTTTAGTTAAGGGTTTGCGTATTGAGCTGCATGCAAAATTTTTGATATACCTGCTTCACTTCAGAGAGTTCAATCCTGTAAACTGGAGGATAATTCCTGAAATGACAGTGAAAGGAAAATTTTCCAGCAAATGTTAGCACAATCCAACCAATCTCTTCCATCTTTTCATTGAAATGGCTTTTCTTTCAGAAAACAAGCAAAAATAATATCTTATCCGTCCCCCTCTGTAATATAGAGAGATATGTAGACACATGAAATACAGCTGAAACAGGGACATTAACTTTTATATTTGGGAACAGTAATAATATTTTAAAATAATTCAGGGGTTTGTGGCTTGGCTTTCTTTGTTTTTAGGTGTTCAATTTTATATAACAACTAAAATTCAATTTTGAGAATCAATTATGCAATAAAATTTCTCTTATCACCATTTGAAGTGTAATGCATGTGCTGCTTTGCACTGCCATCTCCTGAAAGGAACAGTGTAATCTTTATTATATCTTAAAAGGCTTTTTGTGTAGGGAAGTTAGATACTCTAATGAATAAGGCCAGAGTTTCTGAAGGAAAATGATCTCATTTCTGCTTGGATGCTTAGACAAGAGCTATGTTTAGAACTTTTTTTTCTTGTACTTCATCTATTTGTGTTTGTACATTTATTTGTATTACCTATGGAGATATGTTCTAGCGTAGGAGTGTGTAATGTAGTTTCTTTAAAATGTCAGCTATAGGAAAAATTTTGATATTTGCATCTGAATCATGGAGCCATAAAAAAAAGCCACGATCAGAGCACAAGTGGAGGAATTGTATGAGAGCAGCATTTATAAAAACAGAATGGAGTTTGATCCAATCCAGTCCCTTATACATTCAGGTGCGGCCAGAGGTAGGATTTGTTTCAGGCTGAGAAACAGAAGAAAAAGTGTAGGAGTTCATTGGGAATATCTGTCTGAATGAAAGAGAAAAGATTGTCAAGAAGATTCAGATGTTGAGAGCCTTGATGGATTCACCAGTCCAGGATTATGTTGGCAGTAGCCCTCTGTTGCCCAGTGGAAGAGCAGAGGTGTTGAGGACGATTTTTATGACCCATGCAAAAGAAATGTCATTACCTGGGACTTTGCTGTATCCTCTACTCAGTAAATGACCTGGATTATTTTGGGGTTAAGATGATATTTCCCATCTGTTGAATAAGAAGCTGAACTCTGTACTCTTGGCTGGAAGWTCTTTATTTTACCATGCTGTTCTGCAATACAGTCGACAGCTGCCCTGTGTGTCTGCATGAAATCTGTGTATGTTCATTTCTTTATAGTATAGCATTTGTGATAGAATTACTCTACTGGGATAGAAGTTGACTAATTACCATAACTATTTTCCAATTTTTTTCCTCCTTAATTTTTACCCTTTTTGCTTAGTAGCCTTGTCAAATCGTTCCTTCAAATATCTCCTGGCCTATGCCAGTGGCATCAGTACAGGTGTAACCCCAAAATGTGTGGGATGGTTTGGTTTGAGTTCCATGAGGTTAGAAACATGATTTAAGGTATATCTTGCACACTGATTTTGGTCCTCTTAAATGCCACATTTATCCACAAATAAGTGTCTCTGTGGAGAAAATATGATTTGGAATATCTCGCATACAAAGCATATTCTCAGCCATGCGCAGTTTTGCATTGTGGAGCTAAATAAAACAAGGGAAAATGGAATGGGTGCAAGGGGAAAAATGAATGTTTTCAGCTGAGATTTACACARAGATGACAGGTGAATGAGGTGGAGAGGTAAAGAACAGCTGTTCCAGATGGTAGGAGCTTCAGGAGGGAAAATGCTGGAGTCAAAGCGGTCAGATTGTAGGAAGAGATGATGCTCACGAAGGATGAGTGGTGCTGGCAGGGAGATGATGCTGGCAGGGAGATGAGTGTCAGAAGTCAGTGGGAAAAACAGAATAAACACTGTGCATGAAGTTATTTATCTTAAAGTAACATTTTCCTCTAAATGAATCTTTTTCAATTCTGTTCAGCACTACTTGCAGGTGTTTACCTGGAGTCATCAGTGATCAGCATTTTCTGTTGTCTTTGTCTACCTTGACATATTCACTGCCTTTAGTGAGTTCTGTACTGACAACAGACACTCAAGAATAAATAAACACATTTTTCAAAAGTTTACTTTTGAAGTAGCCCTTTTGTCTCTTTAATCTGCTGCTTGGAAATGAAAGCTTTAAAGGTGCTTAAAAATCCAATAGCCTTGATTTTTCAGGTTTTTAACTGGCTAGCRTTTGTCATAGGACTATCACAGTGTAATTGGAGCCATCTCTGAATAAGTAGTTCATACAAGAAGCCAGTGTAAAAATAACAGGAAATTAGCGCTACTAAAGGTGACCCTATAGTTTAAAGAAAAAAATGGTGTAAAAGTCCTGGATTAGTCTTGGAGCTCTTTTTCAATAGACTTGAAGAACTGGCTAAAAGAGAGTTGGCCACTCTCACTCTGCCAGCTCCTCTTGAGTTTCTTAGTTCACCATTTTAAATATTCTGCTTAAATGTTTTGAAGAAATAGGCAGAACATTTACTTTCTGTGAGATTTCTAAAAGCAGAACTTATTTTAGTTAACTATTTAAATTTAACTTACTGAATTAAAAAGCCAGATAATTAGCTGGATTTGTTGTGTTGCAAATCTTATARGTATTACACCTGAAATATTTTATGTTGGCTACTGACCTATAGATCATGGGTGCCAATTCTGCCTCTTTTTTCCCAGTATTGCTACCATTTTAGGCTTGTTCTCACATTATTTGAACCATAGTTTTTAATTGCCAGTAGACATAATATTAAATGTATATCCTAGCCCACTGTAGTCATTCAATATATTAAATGGCACTTTTGGAAGAAACTCAATTCTCATTTCATGGCCATGTTCTTATACAGAATTTGCTTGGTACCTTACTAGTTTCCCCCATCATTTCCAGCTGTGATCAATGCTTTGCTTCAATTTATATCTTAGTTTCTGTCAAAATGTAAGAATTTCTGTATCTTTTAAAGCAGTTTCTGGGCTCTGCTCTTAAGGAGTGAGGAAGGGATGGTGTTCTAGCAAAAAATGTCTTAAGTACTTAYGATTTATGCTTTGGGATACTGCACATGAAAGGTGCAATATGATTTTTGTTCTTTTTATTCCTCCACAGGAGCGATTTTTGATGAATCTGCCAAAAAAGATGAGGAAGTTTTTCGAATGGCAGTTGCTGATCTCAACCAGAATGATGAAATCTTGCAAACAGAGAAAATCACATGTTCAGTGACGTTTGTGGATGGCAACAATCCTTTCCAGGCTGTTCAAGAAGGTAGGACAACTAAAGAGATTTCCTGTTCTTGTTTTTGCCGTGACATGTAAAATATTGCCTTGATGGTTTCCTAGCTTTATGGGAATTTGCAATTTTTGTTGGTTTCTTTTCATATGAAATATCAAATAATGCATTTAACTTTGGATTTAGCTGCTTTGGTTTGTGTTGGTCGTAATAGGTAGGTATAAAGTCAGCTTTATCTGTTTTCTATGAATAGATTGTTGAAATGTGATAAAGAAGTCAGGCATACTTTGCCTACATCTTTCCTCTTTTCGGGGCTGCTTGAAGTTACTGTCAAAATGATGATTACTTCCTACTACTTTTCAGTTTAATTTTGGGTAACTAATTGCACTTTGTTGGCAAGCATAGGTTGTTGTGTGGATAGCCTTTCCAGCCCACACACCTGAGAAAGTTACGTTTTTAAAGGAGGGATTAGACATAACCTGATGACTCAGAAAATTGCCTGTGTCCAATATGATTTGTTCTCAGTCTGTCCTTTGTGTCATTCCATAATTATTGGACAATGGATGACGACATTGCTTTGGGCTCCTGTGATAGTGGCAGGATGATAACAGARAATAAGACTTGAAATCCCTCTGAGCTGGATTAGTAAATCACTGGTGTGACTGCGCAGTTCTCTGGAACGCCAGCTAGGAGAAGGCTTTAGAAATATGGATTCATATTTGGGGGTAAAAGGTTCATTATTTCATTGTTGCTGTGGCACACTGACTTCTGCCTGAGATGCTGCAGTTATTTACTGCAGGTGTATTATTAAACTTTCCTTAACAACAAAACTAAATTTTGGTTATGTTCTATATCATCATTAGTTCTGTGTTGACACAGGAGGTTTAAAGGAAACATGCAAATAGTTGCTCCAATATTTGTGAAGTCAAAGATTTGGCTTTATTAGACTATTAGAAGGCAATACTAATGAAAGAGCCTTTAATGCTTATTTGGTTTTTTTTACCAGTGACATTTTTAATTTTTTGTGAATTTAGTAATTTAGTAATTTTTTTTGTTCTGTTAAATGTTACAAGTAGATAGATTTGTGTAATGGGAAGCATTACACAGTTGTGCTTGATCTATCTCTCTATCACTCATCCCCTGTTCTTAACTGTATTTCTTATAATTGTGATTAGAAGGGCAAGGGACCACTAACTTTTGGCACATACTGCATGGTTTGTAACTTGGACAAATGCTTAGCAAAAATGCACTGTACTAAACACCAGGAAAAATGTTCGTTTAAACACTCAGGTTACTTGTTTTTGTAATTGGAAAAGATKCACTAGAATAAGAATCTCATAGTTTTCAATGTGTGACACTCAGTATGCTCAAACTTGGCTTTTTCATGCAAGCATGACCCTTTCCTTGAAATCATGACAACACTGAGTCCAAGGTACTGTGGCCTCTCTTTTTAGGCAGAGCCTGATGTTCAAAAAATGTACTATTTATTTAATTTACCATTTGTTTGTTTTATTTTTTTAATCTAAACTGCTTGAAGTCTGCTTTGTTTTGGGTCACAATATCTGGGGAGTTTTTAAGGTTTTGACTTTTTTTGTTCTTGGATAAACTACAGTAGCCCCTAAAAGCTCCAGCTTTTAATGCTTGGCGAAATGCTTATTTACAGCATTAGATCCATAATAATAGCATAAAATTGGCCTAAACTGGTCTAAAACCTGCCCTTTTCAGTGAATAGAAAAGGATAAAAATTTGCCTAGGATTGTGAATTTCAAAAAACCAAGAATTCATGAGTAAAGACCTCATGAAACAAGCCATTAGGTACAGAGTTATTTTTCATAATGATGCAGTAATGGATAGCATGTATTATTTGTTTTATTTCACACTTTGTGCAATTAGCAAATAACATCCAAACAATGTAAACAGCAATACTCCAACTCTTCATAATGATTTTGGGTTGTAAAGATAAATAAWTTGGGAGAGGTACCAGCTGTGCAGTACTGTGTTCTTCCCTCTGWATGTGTTTTTATAACTTATTACAGTGCCCTTAAATGTTTTCCACTTGTAGCTTAGGGCATCTCATTAACAGCTCTGATTGGGGCGATGACACTATAGCAAAGCTGAGTGGTTTTATCCTAGAAGACCTGTGAATGACACATCCGATAATATCACTGGAAGTGCCCTCAGGGACAGTTTATAGGCATGCTCTGGCACACAGAAACAGGAGGTGCAATTTTTAAGTTAGGAAAATTAGTCTTGTTTTCGGTGTGTGTTGTATCAGAAGGAGCCAACAGCAAGTGTGGTACATCCCATGCCCTTATGGAAGCTGCAGCCCAGCTGCTGAGATGTCACAATGGCACCTGTGGAAATGTCCCTCCCCTCCCCACAACATTAATACTACACTTCTGAGTGGTGTCTCAAAATATTTGTGTGACTGAGCAAGGAAGAATATTGTGATTGGCTTTTTTATGCTGTGCTGGTRTCGGGCTCCACAAAGGAAAAGCAAAAACTTAAGTTTTCTTTGTATAGAGACATAGAAGTAGGGATAGTCAGTTGTTGAATGGTAGTAACTCAGTGATTTAGCACYATGAAACAAGGAATTATGATGCAGACCCATACGAGTGGTAATAATATATATAATCTTTACCTCCTTTCTTGTGAGACTCCAGTTTACAGCAGTCTTTAAATATGGGTGGGACAGGCCTTCAAAAGCCATTGAGTTCTACACATACTTAAAAGTTTTGTTTTTTTCTTTTAATAGAAGTCATGTTTCTGTATTTCTTTTCAATGGACTTTTTCACTGGAAAATTTGTTTGAAATAAATACAACTGTTTTTTTTCTCATATGTCAGAGAATCACTTCGTTCTCTTATCTTTCACTTRCTTTTATTATACTTGTCCTTACTTCAATACRCTAATAATTAAARCTTTAATTTTATGGTTCAGAGCCTRCTATTTCCTCCGGTCCTTAATTCATCATTAATGCTATGATACAGTAGCTGAATGGCTGATATAAAATGTGTGATGGCCTTTGCATTTCTGTGGCAAGTGGAAGGAAGGGGTGGCTTTGGTAGCTTGATCTGGAGGTGATATTTTGGCTCATGCTGATACATGTCCTTGGGCAGCACGGTTTCTACAGTCCTCGTGCTGCCATTTCCACTAGCACTCTGAGAGTTATGGAGTAAACTCTGCAGGAGTTTGCAGTGCTTGAGGCATCCACAGCATCTAGTAGGTAGTCAGAGCTCGGCTAAAGATGTGTGTCGTCCTTGGAGATCTGTTGGCAGTGCTTTAACCTCATGGCAAACATTTTCTTTTCATTTAGTGCTGATTTTTTTTTCTTCTTAATTTTATGCCCTTTTCCTGCATTTTTATTTCCTTCTTTGGACAATATCATATTTTACCTATCTTGAATAATAACTCTGTAATAATCCAATTTTTTCTTCTATAGGTTACCTACAACACATGTCAAATTTGACTGATGCTGTTTGAAATGAACTTTGTTGGACACCTTTTCCTATTGCAATCACATATATGTGTGAGGCTTCTTTTTCCTTTTTTTTTTTTTTCTACCCCAACCTTTTTGTCATTCAGGGTAGTCACCAGAGTATGCTTACAGACACCAACTCAAGCCTTCGTAATGGCTTTTGAAAGCTTATTGTGATCAGTGAAGTAAATAAGGCAGTGAGTCATAACTAAATGGGATTCAGCTGTAGAGTAACAGAGGTTTGTAGGGCAGCAATATGTATGAAGGTCACATGCAGGATTTTGTTCAAGCAAAGTTTTATGGTCAGAAATTACAACCTGATGGATACATCTGCTTTGGCCTTTGGGACTAGATGAGCGTAATAAGATTGTCCTTTCCCATTTCCCTGATCACTGTAGAAATCTGTTTAAATCCACAGATTTCATGGACTGCTAAACTTTCTTTCACTTTGCGTGAGTTATTTCTTCATATTTCTTAGCCTTTCTCGTGCTGTTTATTAACCAGTGCATGTTCAGTTTGAGATTAAACCTTTACAGGGTTGAACTTTTTCACTGCCCCTCAATTTCGTTTCCGATTTGATTTTTTATTTCCCAATAAAATGGATTTTGATGCAACAAGATATACTGAGGAGGAAAGAAATCAAGTAGGATTTGAGCTATAAAAAGTTAAGGGAGGAGGAGAAGCATTTCAGTAATGATATAAACCCCTTTGTAAAATCAGAAACTGTTGAAAATGTTTGCAATTGCAAATTGCTTGTATCATGAGCACTCAGAAAATATGGTAGGATATATTTTAAAAYTCGTGTCCTCTGTGCTTTCTCATAATGTAGCAGCAGTTGTAGCACTTTGCCCTGTTCTCAAAACGCTGGGTGAGGAGCCTGCTACTCTTACACAGGCTTTGTTCTCATGTAAGTCTTTCTAACCCCACAAAATCAATCAGCTCTCCAATTTGCATAAATGTACCATGGGAGTCCAAGTGTTGACAGCATAGAAAAAAAAGATCTTGCTACACTGGTGATAACATCCTGACAGTTGGGAAAGTGGTTGCATGGAAGAAGATSAGGGAGAAAGGAGCAGTGATGGAACCAGAAAAGGGACATGGAATAGAGACTTAGTTTAGGGTGAGTAGGATGCACATTTAGCACATTTTTCAGCAACAATTTCAAAGGTCTYGTGACCRTTCTTTCCCCGGAAGTAATCTACTYAGAGCATAGTGCAGCCTGAAATGGGAGATCAGATTTATTCTCAGAAAGGCCTTGCAGATACAGTAACTGTAAGACTTAGATCATTCTGGATTTTAAACCCCAGTGTTTTCTAGATCCTAATTCTTTCTGCAGTAATGTTTTCTTCGATTGTAGGACATCTTCCATTGTCTTTATTTCCAGTTTATTTCCAGTTTGGAAGCAAACTCTGGCAGCAGTAAACTGCACTAGACTTTCAGATAAATGAAGATTAAAAAAATAGYTTATATTCAGCTCWGAAAAAWTCCACTAACTCCACATAGACTGATTTTTAAAAATTTCTGTTTTAAAAATTAATTTATCAAGAATGGATTTTTTT